TATATATATATATATATATATATATATATATATATATGTAACGATCGTCAGCCTTATGTGACATTGGCTCGACACGGTGGCCATATGCCTCGTTGAACATCGTGATACACCGTCATTGTGTTGTCAGTGCCATCGACACGAGCCCTCTAAATCTCCACGTTACAGTCAAGAGATGCGACAGCTCTGTTTCATTGTCGTCGAACCGTTCTTCGCTCTATGCGCTTCCACTTTGCCCGTCTTTTTCTTCCGTTCCTCTTGTCAACTCACTCCTCGTTCTTTTCTCGTCCTTTCGAAGTAAAAAACTTTCCACAAATTGAAGAAAAACACGATGAACAATGCATTGTCGAACATTTCATCACCTCCAAACATTATTCAGTTTAAACGTCATTATACTATCAAAGATATGAAAACGTCGCTTGCCTTAACAATTTAATCTTCGACCTCCACGAAACTCTCTGATATTTTCTCTTTTTTTAAGTTTTTTCATCCTTGATTCGCATCCTATTTATAAATTCATAAATGGCTCGAGTGTATCGGGCTTCTTCGTTTTGAACTCTATTTCGTTCGTTCTCCGGTTTAATCGAAAAGGAATATTAAAATCCATTCCTCTGAAATTTTTTTTCAACGTCGGTAGCGTATGACACCATGTCTCTTTCCTGAGTCGGAATTTCTATTCCCAATCTATTTCCCTCTAAATATTTTTTTATCTTATCAATTCTTTTCGCGTTTATCCATCATCTTCGCTATTAACTCCGCTATTCTTCCTCTCTCTTTCTCTCTCTGTCTCTCTGTTTATTTGATTCCTTATCGAAACCATTCTTTACAGACACCGTGACAACAATTTTATTCTATTCCCACTGGTAGTCCGGGGGTAAAATAAATCCAGTTTTTCGACCTGACGGCTTATTCTACTTTTTCCTCTACTCTCTATTCTCGGCCGTCGTTGCAACCGCGTCGGTTCCTCCGTCTTTCGCTTTGGTGGTGGAACCGAGAGTACTTGGTCGATACGATGCAGAGTCCCCATTCGAGTCGCGGCCATCTGGCTCTCGTGTGTCGATTCTCCTTCCGATTTAACCTCGAAAATCGAGGGAAATCACGTGCACGCTGGCCGAGACGCCAGGGATCTCTAACCCTGAACATCTCGGGGCCCCTCGAGGATGCGCTCGCTGCCACGCTACTAAATTTCCCTAGATGTACGTACGGTGGAACGCCAACGGGGAAAAAATATCGGCGGAAAGTGGCGGTGAAATATACAAATGCGCGGTTCGTTCGCGGATAACGTGCGAGAATAGTCTGGGGTGCACGGATTCGCTGGACTCGATAGAAAGAGGACAAGGAATTGCCAAACAGACAATTAGAACAGACATTTAGAAAATCAACTAAAATTCAGCCGTCTTAAAAATATTTTCCTTCTGGCAAGAAGAACTAGGGACAATATTGTTGTATAATAATTTACAAATCCATTATCGCGTGACACTCTCGAAAGACGTAACTTTTGTTCCGGAATTTGTTCTGTCTTCTCTTCGACAGTTTATGACTCACTAAGATCGAAGAGTAGGAAAATTTTCAA